TTSTATCCCAATCTTACTGTGTAATCATATATYGGAACCTTTGATTTGATGTTCCTGTCTTTGTCTGGTATCCAGCCCCATTCTGCCGGGTCAAATTCCAAACTTTTAACCGCCGTATCCGGTCTAAAAATCYGCTTTGGCCATGGACCTAGTACTCTGATTTTCCTGAGTARGTAGGATTCTAGCACTACCGTCTCCACTTCCTTGTTGAGTATTGATGGCATATCATGTATGGAAGGGGAAATCGGAAAAGAGGAAAAGACAGCTTGTGTAGTCGAACCCGGCTGCATGTGCGAGAATTGGAAGGCTCTTGAGGGAAAGGACTCTTGTACTTTCACCTCCCATTCTCCTGATTTCCATAGTGAAGCCTCTGCCAAAATGTCTTTCCAGTTAGATGGAATTCTGTCGATTATGTACTGTAAGTTAGGCCCTCTTCTGTGGCATCCTTTCAAGAGCATGTTCAGTTCCTGTTCAGTTATCCAATCCTTTCTTTCTTCGTTCCATAGATGACCAACTGTCCATACCCCGTTTTTGACCCATCACAGCCATCTCTGCTCTAAATATATAGGGTTGTTGCCTTCGTCAGTCACCCAATTGTTGCCAAACAGTGGTTGTACTAGGACCTCATCTACTGATCTTGGTCTGTTCGTCCTTCTGGGTAGTATATCTCTCCATATTCGGATCAGAGCCGACCAATAAGGGGTAGGGGACCTGACCGCGTTTAAATCAGGCTCTCCCCTTCGTTTTTTCCTGCCCGTTTTCAGCTTCCATTCTTTAGTCATGACCCAAAACAGACCTGCCATGTTATCGGGAGAMGTTAYAGGTGCCAGGGTCCTAATGCTGTCGAGCGCCAGCTTGTTCCATGGGCTATCTGGCTTCATCAACAGTTTGATTATCCATTTAACCTGTAGGGCTTTTGTCTCAGCCCTGGGGTCTATGATACCCAGCCCCCCATAGAGTGGTTTCCTTGTGATGTACTGCCAAGCAATCTTAGGTATACTGCCCTTTTTGTTTGGATTGCCTGACCATAAGTAGTTCCTGGCTAGGGTATTTAGTTCTTTTATTGAGYTGTCCGGTATTGTCCATATCGAGGCAATATACCACATCATCGCGAAAACCGAAGTATTAAGCACCAGGGCCCTACCTATCAACGAAGTAAAGACATTTCCCCATYTCCYTAGCTTGTTTAATTGTTTGGCCAGGATGTTTTGTGCCATTTRTGGAGCTAAACCATCCTTGGTCATCAGGATCCCCAGATATCGAGTGGGCGTATCCGGTGTGTCCCATGTCATTGAAGCCTCCGGCTCTTGCAAGACCGGGAAGTCCTCGTCTGAAAGCCACCACCCTACTGTCTTTTTCCAGTTTATTCTCATCTCGGACGCCAGTCTGAATGCTTCCATCGCTTTAGCTAAGGATTTAAAAGAGGAGTCYGAAGCCCGTATCAGAACCGTTAGATCATCTGCAAACATAATGGCTGTCGGGAAGTTCATGTGGTGTGGAGATCCCGCATTCACTTCCGGAAGCCTCTGAATGGAGGGATCTTTCCGAAGGAATAAAGCAATAGCTTCCATCACAAATTAGAAGATCGATGGTGCCAGTGGATCTCCTTGCCTAACTGATCTAGAGATTGGATAACTCTCTGAAAGGAGACCATTCACTTGCACACATCCCACTGCGTCATTGTACAAGATTCRGACCCATTTCCTAAAGTTCGGTCCCACCCCCATTCGTTCCATGCTAGCCTCCATGAACGACCAGTTGACTTGGTCATACGCTTTTTCAAAGTCAAAGAAGAGTATTGCTGCTTTTATCCTTTTTTCTCTGATTTTATTCACTGACTCATTCAAAGTTAGGACGTTGTCAAGTATGTAACGACCTGGGATGAAGCCGGTTTGATCAATGTGAAAGCATTTGTCCGTTATGTTCGTGATTCTTGCTGCCAGTGTTTTAGCCAAGATTTTGTAAGGGAGCGTCAGTAGTGAGATTGGTCTATAATTCCTGATGTCTTCTTTTTCCCCTTTTTTGTATAGAAGTGTGACCACACTACTGCTGATGAGATTGCCTAGACCCCCTTTAGCCCAGCTGTCTCCGTAGAAGTTCATTAAGTCTCTCCCCAAGCGCGGCCAGAATTTTTCCCAAAATTCTTTGGTCAACCCGTCAATACCTGGCGATTTATCATTGTTCATGCTTTTGAGTGCTTGGCGTAATTCTTCTGTCGTAATTGGTTTGTTTAAAGTCTCAACTTGTTCCGCCGTAATCATCTTTTCCAAGTATTGCAGCATTCTTTGTCTCGCTTCTCTTATGGTCGTTGGGATAGGATCGCGTGTTCTTGTTTGGTATAATTCTTGGTAGAAGCTCTTTGCTACATCTAGCATTTCTTCACTGGTTGAGACCCTCTCCTCTGGCGGCGAGAGGGTTTTTAGTCCTTCTATAGTGTTTGCCCGTGAATTTGCTTTGATACGAGCAAAGAAGTGTTTTGTCATTGATTCACTGAGTTCATATTCGTTCATTCTTGCTCTTATCTGTAGGCCTTTCAAGTCCCACCATCTCCATAAGGCTAATTCCTCACGTGTCTTCTCGAAAATTTCTTTGTATAATTGGGAAGAAGCGTCATTGCTCAAGTTCATCTCCGCGATCTTCAGTGCTGATTCCAGCATCTGCCTTCTTTGTTTCCTTGTGGAGGCAAGGTTCCTGGATATCTTCGCAACTGTCTTCGAAAGATCCAGGTAGCTATCTTGAAACCATACCCATCGATCCTGGGAGGCCAGTAGCAAGTTTCTACGCCCTTGCCAGCAATCCCGTACCCCTCCCTGGAAGGTCTGACTTAAGAGGAGGGAGTTGTTCAATTTGTGGAAAGTGGTACCTTTTTTGACCAGCTGGTCAAAGTTAATTATCAGTTCTATGGGTTTATGGTCGAGCCCTGGGCATGGGGCTAAGGGTAATATCTGAGCATCTTTAACTGCCCCCACCATAATCTCTGAAACTAGGAAGTAATCAATACGTGAGAAGGCCGTGTGTTGAGCATGGTTCTTTTTGACTAGCGAGAAGACTCTCGTTGTTGGGTACATGGTTCTGAGGGGATCAATCAGACCATGGTCTAACATAAGCTTTTAGATAGGAAACGCTTCTGGAGAGTTGGACACGTTAGGAGATCGGGATATGCGGTCAATTGTAGGATCTAAAGTGGCGTTCCAGTCTCCTGCCATTATGCATGGCGTCAAGGGGGGAATTAATCTGTCCAAACTGGCTATGAAGGACGTTCTCTCCACTGGATCATTTGGGGCATAAACGTTGAGCAAAAGAAACTCCTCTTCATTCCACTTCAGGTGCATAAAACACCACCTCCCATAGTTAAGATCCGCTTCCTTGCTTATAACCTTCCCTGTTTGAAGGAAACGAGAAGAGTTAGGTATCAAAATGGCCGTTCCTTTTGTGCTTGACGTACTATCTTCCGCCCAGATTTCTTCTTTAATCCCATCTAACTTTCTTGCCACCAACTTTTTAATCCTAGTATGTTCCCTAGAGGAGATAAGATGGGTTTCCTGTAGCAATATGATATCTGCTACCTTCTTGTAACTTACTGTTAGACCTTTAATTAGGTCAAAGAGCTTGTCTTCCCTCCCCTGAACGTTACCCAGACCATTGACATTCCAACTTCGAATGGTGATCCCTTGGTGTCTCCACTCGCCCTAAGTTACCCCCCTGTTGGCCACTTTCCTGAATTCCTCCATTGCCCCGACTGTTACCACTATTTACCACTATTTACCCCAAGGCCCGCTCTGCTGTTTCTTTTACGATGGTAAAGGTCCGCCTGTGTCCAGGCCGATCGTGTCCTCTCCCTGATCAGACCCCCCGGAATCCTGCACCGGTCTCGAGGGCGTATCTGACTCAGACTCATCCATCTTGTATGGACCCAAGCTTTCCTCATTGTCTTCACCCTGTTCTATGTTCCTCCCCTCCTCGTCCCTCTCCTCATCAGAGATCCAGCCCAGGGACTCACCATCCGAGCCATCACTCCTGTAGTATTTGTCCCAATCCAGCGCAAATGCTCGTGCTTCCAGATCACCATCTCCCTCCAGAGTGCCTGCCGCTACTAAGGTCGCAATTGATATTGCATTCAATTCTGCTGGCAAACTCGAGCCTGCCAAGATGCTGTATGGGACTGCAATTACAGTCCTCCACGGTCGCCATCTCATCCCTGACCTCAGTTTCGCAGTTTCCGGCAACTTGACGATCAATGGCATGAATGCCTGAGGAGAGTGTTTCCCTACTTCTGTGTCTGTTGCATCAACCTGGACCCCTACTTCCTGSGSCGATTGAGAMTGTGTGTCCTCCTGAACTGCTCCATTCAGTCCTATCTCAAAGACACCCAAAGGATAAGAACTAGAAACTTTCTTTCGGAGGACTTCTGCTAAGTTCTGGCCTTCTTCCAAGCCAGGGATCTGAAAGGAAACATCTGTGGCAACCTGCCACTCATCAATTCCTGACACATATCTTGCTGCGATAAGAGGACGGATACTCGTCATTGTGAGCCTTGCCGACCTGGCAGTTTCTTCTACCAGTGGGGTAGCCTTTTTGGCAATGCGATCGATTGTAATGAATTATGGAGCATACTCCTCATTCAGTCTCCTCAATTTGTCTGTTTGGGCCTGTATGACCGCTGCTTCTTTTTCCAGCAGAGTGCATCCAGATTCATCCTCAGATTCCATTGGATCTGAGTCATTGTCCCTCGTCTTCTGGTTCTTCCATGTCCTCCATTTCGTTGGGCGCAAGCTTTGGAGTTCGTCTTTGGAATCAGGAATGGTTTTGTCTTTGTCTTTCAGACCGTGTTCTCTTGCCCTTTTCTTTTCTGCGTACCTGAATGCCGTATATTCCGATAGCTCCTCTGCCTTGACCTTCCTGAGTGCCTCGAATTGGTTGTTGGAGTTCACGGATCCTCCTATCGGGCCCCTCTTACCGACTAACTGGGCTTTTTCAGCATGTTTCAGGCATGCTACCCTGATGTTGAATGCATGTTCCCTTTCCCTTTTGACTTTCTCTACATATTCTCTGAGCCACTGGAGCGATCACTGAGATTCCTTCTCACTTTCCTTGTCCGGGTTGTCTCCCTCTGCGCTGCTCACATCAGCTATGGTGTCCGACTCCGCTTTCCCTTCCCCCTTTGCCTTGTCCCCTTGGCCGACCACAACAGGTTTAGTTACTGTTACCTCTTCTCCTCCTGCATTTACTGCCTTTCTCTTCTTGAGTGTACCCTCCATCATCTCCTGACCTTCACTGTTCAGCGTTCGTTTGTTTTCTGTTTGATCCTTGCTTCTTTGCTGGAGTGACGCCTGTTCTAAACTTTTCAGCTTGCATCTGAAGCTTGTAGCTTCTTTGTCGAATTCCTGCATCACTTGTTCCTTTACTGCATCTAGATCCCACAGGAGATCTTCCCTGTCTTTCTCTTCCCTGATCACCCGGGGCTCTATGAGAGGGTCAGTCCTAATTCTTGTTGGGTTTCCTGGCAATTTCCCCGTAGCTTTCTTCTGCCATCTGCTGTCCGCTGGCGGGAAGATGTTCAGTTTCTTGACCAGCGGTTCCCTGTCCACGTAGTGCCATACCCAATCGGGTTCTTCCAGGTTGTCATCGAAGACCCAGCCATCGTAATTGCTGTCTACGACGAACCATATGCCTGGAGCCTCCTCCACTTTCACCAACATGTTGGGAAGGAGTCTGCGCTCTTTTGACTGTTTTGGAAATTTGGGGCAGTTGGGGTCGTTCCCCATGTGGCCCCGCTCCCTGCACCGGAAGCAGATCGGGGAGCTCTTTATAGAGACCCTAATCTCTGCAACTCTGTTTTTGATCCGTAATTTCCATGTCTGCGGAAAAACCGGGGGGGTATCTGTCTTGACTTCCAGTATTGCAGTCAACGATCCGCAATGTGGGGCCAAGAATTCCGAGGCTGGCAGGATCCATTTAAGGATCTTGTTCGCTGTGTATTGCTTTTCTAATCTGTCTACCAGCAAGCCCTGAAAACCTAGCGGGATGTTGTCGAACTGAACCCAGAAGTTCTCCTTCAAAAGTGTCTGTTTGTAAGAGACCGAGAAGACTGGGTCCTTTTTTTTTTTTTTTTTTTTTTTTTTTTTTTAACAGAATCCATGGTTCTGGCTCCTGCCATTCTGGGGAGCGACAGTCCGGTTCCTATTCCCCCGGCAAGTCAATATGGAATACATCAGAACACACACACGCTCCTCCCCATTATGGCTGAGAGGCCCCAGTAGGCAGCATTGATTACTTCCCTGAGGAAGGATGTACCACCTCTCACCCTTGCCTAATCTAGCCTGCCCTAAGTCTTCTTGCCAATSTATCTAATCCCAGAACTGCTCCTCTCATCTAAGAAGCTGTCGGTTATTAATGATTATACTAGAGCTTTCTGGAACACTTATATGGCTTTTGAAACCTTTAAAATTCTATAGCAGCTAAAATTCTATAACAACTTTTGCCTTGTTTTTGTCTAAGCCTTAACCCTAAACCTTCAGTCTTATGTTGTCCTGATTCAGGACGCCCATTTAGACTTTACCTCTCTTATGCCCTAAACTCTCTTTGTTTTCATCCTACTGTACCCCTTAATCCCCAAACCCTTCCTTCAACTCATTAACCCTGAATCCCTTCCTCTTTTCCCCCTTTTTTTTAAAACCCTAAACCCTACCTTGCACTGCTTGAGTTCCGTCCCTCCTTTTATTCTTCCCTGGGAGTCTATGTTAATGCCTTGCTTCTTAGTTCGCTCCTATTGCGATATCCATCAGGTGAGTTGTGCTTGTATAGGCTTCTATCCCTTGTGTCCTTAGTTGGGTATGTCGCCATTGTGCAAAGTGCAGTTTGTCGTGATCTATTTTAGCTATCCTTCCTTCACCTAACTGGTTTTTTACAAAATTTTCTATTATTTTGTCTTTGTTTATGATATCCTCTTGTATTTTCCTGCAGGTTCTCTTCCACCTTCCTCTATATTCAACCTTTATTAGGTGCAAAACTCCTTCCCAAGCTTCTTGGGGAGACATGGTTGCGCTATCAATCGTCTCTTGACATCTACGTTTCCACACCATCCATAATGTCGCGAGCCTAAGCACGTGGAAGAAAGACACTTCGAATCCTCTCCAAGAGCTATGAATGTGCAGGCCAAGTAAGAGAGATAGTTGTTTCGATGGTAATGTTTTGTCAGTGACCGTGTGCCAAAGTATGGAGGCTGGAGTCCAGAGTTGTTTGGCTTTCTGGCAGCTTAGCAGACAGTGCTCTATATCGTCTATCAATCCCTCCGGACAAATAGCACACAACTCTTGTATCGGGGATAACTGGAAGAGCCCTATGGGCGAGTAGCCATTGGAAGCTTCTTATTCTGCTAGTAGCCTACTCCATGACTTGATGAGGGTTTGATTCGGGGGCAGATTAAGGTGAGAGTCCCATCTTTGGTTGATGATTTGAGTTATTGAAACGGATCTCATTCTTAGTGTATATCCTAGTTTAGTAGAGTATTCTAGAATGTTATTACGTTTCTCTATTCCTAGCCTACCTGACTTTCTCTTCCAAGCCCATTCCGCTGGGTCAATTTCCAAATCTGCTATACCCACGAGTGSTTCATATATGCGTCGTTCTTCAGTTTCTACCACTCTGACTTTCCTCATTGCTTGTTCTGGAATGGCAATTTCTCCCAAAGCATTACGACTTAAGAGGCTTGTGGTTGATCCCGGATCCTCAATCGAGAATATGTCGCATACTAACCATGCGTTCCCTGGCCCCTCCCGTGAGCGGAACTGATAGGCGGTAGTGGGGATGTTTTCAGTTAGACGTGTTGCCCATTCCCCCGTTCTCCATTCACCCCTGCCTTTTAGTAGCTCTTGCCAATTTTGTGGTATTGATATTAAGATATCATTCAAATTTGCTTGTAAATTGTGGCATCCCCTCAGGATTTCTCTTAGCTCTCCTACCGTTTTCCATCTCTTGTCCTCATCATGCCACAGGTGCTTGACTTGCCACACTCCTTTTTCCAACCACGCGCCCCACTTTGTGTCTTTTGTGGTTAGGGTCCATGGTTTCCCTTGTGGGTCTAGCAAGGCCTGGTTACAGAAGATTGGTTGTCTGAGGACTTCCTCTATAGTTGTTGGTTCTCTTACTTTGGCTGGTAGGATCTCTCTCCACGATTTCAAAAGTTGTCTCCAAAAGTCCTCCCCCTCTTCTTCACCCTGGTTCCCTTGATGTTCTGTTTGCGCCCCACCCTTCATCGCCCAGGATTTATTCATGAGCCAGAAGAGGCCACGCATGTTGTCCGGGGTTTTGTATTTGGCTATTTGTTGTATTTTGTGGAGGCCAAGTTTGCTCCAGGGTAGATTGTTATTAGTTATCATTTTGATGATCCACTTTGTTTGAAGGGCTTTGATTTGAATTTCCGGGTCCAGGATTCCCAAACCCCCTTGCGATTTCTTCATAGTGACATACTTCCATGCCACTTTAGAGATGAAGTTGACCCTGGATGGATCACCGGTCCACAAACAGGCAGCTGCCCTTCTTCTGAGTTGTATTCTTCTCTGCTTAGTTGGGCTCCAGATTGTGCCTGCGTACCACATCATTGCAAAGATTGAAGCATTTAGGATCAATGCTCTGCCGTATATTGAGGTGTAGACATTGGACCAGCTCCCCATTTTGGTAATCATCTTATTCATTATAGCTGGGGCCATTGCTTGGTTTGAACCATGTTTGGAAACTTGGATTCCTAAGAATCTGAGAGGTTCGTTGCCACGTGACCAGCTCATTCCTACCGGTGTACTTTGGGGGGGGTTAATTTGTGGGTCTGTTAGCCACCAGCCTATTGTTTTGGGCCAATTGATTCTCATTTCTGATGCGATTTGGAAAGCTTGCATGGCTCTAGTGAGAGTTTGAAAGGAAGAGTCTGATGCTCTTATTAAGACAGTCAAGTCATCCGCGAAGAGGATGGTAGTGGGTATATTGATTGGATGTTGCCCGTCATCTACCAATCTTTCAATCGATGGATCTTTTCTTAGAAAGGAGGCAATTGCCTCCATAATGAAGAGAAAGATTGGGGCTGCTAGCGGGTCCCCCTGTCTTACCGAACGGGACATTGGGTATGGCTGTGACAGATGTCCATTTACCTGTACTCGTCCCTGAGCTTCTGAGTATAGGACTTGGACCCATTTTCTGAAGTTCGGACCTACCCCCATCTTTTCCATACATTGTTGTAAAAAGTTCAAATTAACCTGATCATACGCTTTTTCGAAGTCAAAGAATAATATGGTTGCGTTCATTCTTTTATCCTGAATGTATCTGACTGATTCGTTGAGGGTCATTACATTATCCAGGATGAATCTTCTGTCTGGTCGATGTGGAAGCAGTTCCTAGTGATTGTTCTGATTCTGTTGGCTAGTAGTTTAGCTATTATTTTATATGTTACTGGGAGCAAAGAGATCGGTCTATAGTTTCTGATATCTGCTGGGTCGCCTTTCTTATAGATCAAGGATACTACTCCCGTGCTTTGGAATTCCCCTAGTGAGCCTCTGTTTCATGCCTTCTCTAGGAATTGGATGTATTTTGTGCCTAGAGCTGGCCAGAAGGTGACCCAGAACTCCTTGGATAGCCCATCCAATCCTGGGGTCTTGTTTGGTTTCATTGATTGCAGTGCTTCAAAGACCTCTCGTTCTGAGATTGGTTTATCCAAAGCCGACGCCTGTTTTGTTGAGATGGTTTTGTCTAAATGGGTCAGGAATTTGGTTCTTGCACTTGCGGTTTCCTRTTGTGAGTAGTTCTGTTCTTTTGATGTATAGAGGTTTTGGAAGAAGTCCGCTGCTGCTGCTAGCATCTGCTGGGGATTTGATGTCAGTCCCTGCTCCGTTTGGAGCTTTACTATGTTTGCATTCCTWGCGTTTGTCTTGATTCTATTGAAAAAATATTTGGTCATTTTTTCRCCTTCTTCCCAATCCTTCATTCRGGCTCTCATTCTTAAGCCCTTGTTTCTCCATTCTTCCCATTCTGACATCTCCTGTCTGGCTTGTTCAAAAACTCTTTCGTATAAATTATTCCTTGGGTCTCTTAGGATATTCCTTTCCGCTATCCTTATTGCCTGTTGTAATTCTTCTTCTCTTGCTTTTCTCTTAGAAGCAATTATTCTGGAGGCTCTAGCAGTGGATTCTGTTAGTGCCATGACCAAGTCTGGGAAGTCCTTATTAGTGTAGTCGTGGTTAATACATGTGGACAGAACCGCGTCCCTTATTTCTGTTGTTCCTAACAGTGAGTTGTTCATTTTGAAGAAACTTCGCCCTCTGTCGGGGGATGTCCCTCGGTTAAGAAACAGTCTGACTGGTTTGTGGTCCAAGCCTGCGTAGCGTGGGAGTTCTCCTGTTTCCGTGTTCTGGATTGCGCCAGTAAGCGATGCTGATATCAAAAAATAATCGATTCGGGATGCAGATATGTGCTGACTTCTATTCCTTTTTAAGTAAGTGTATTCCTTGCTGTCTGGGTATAGACTTCTGAGTGGGTCTATGAGATCCTTTTCCATCATCAACTCGTGAATGGGTATGGCTTCATTCCACGCGGCTTGTGATGTTCCAGTTACTGCTCCTGAGAAGCGGTCCCTGGTTGGATCCAGTGCCGCATTCCAGTCCCCTGCCAAAAGTAACTGGATGTTGGAATCGCACCTTGGAAGGAGGTCTGCAATTAGTCTAGTTCATTGAGTTAGAGTATTTGGGGCATAGACTGTTAGTAACCGGAATTTTTCTTCATGTATTTGAAAGTCTATATTAGGACCGAATCAAGCA